CGGGGAGCCCAGAACTGGACGCAGCACTGCAGATGGGGCCTCACCAGGGCAGAGTAGAGGGGGAGGAGCCCCTCCCGAAACCCGCTGGCCACACTCAATGCACCCCAGGAGACCACTGGCCTTCTGAGCAACCAGGGCACGCTGCTGGCTCACAGTCACCTTGTCATCTACCAGGACACCCAGGTCCCTCCCTGCAGAGCTGCCCTGCAGCAGGGCTATCAGAGTGAAGTTTTTAAAGTTTTCTCGCAGTGACATTTTTGCATTTAACAGCCGAGACACCGTGGCTGCTCGTGATGGAAAAGCTACGGACTTCTGTTCACAGGCAGGTTCCTCGGGCGGCAAAGCCCAAGGTCCCATGCAAGGCGCAGACACCAGCCTTGCCTGCACCCAAGGGCGGGTGGGAGAGTCCTCGCAGAGCAGCTTCCCATGGAGGGATGCGGTTTGAGCTTCCACTGTGAGCGTTAGCACGTTGAGCTCTACCCAAGCACAAGTTCAGTGCCCGATGAACTCACAGTCCGCCTGCCACAGGGTACATTCTACCACTTAAAGACACATCCCAAATGATGGAAGAGAGCAAATAGCTCGCTGCCCAGCAGATTGTTTCCGTGCACAATTAAGAGGTGCTTGGCATTTTCCAGCTGTGGAGGCCAGGTAGTTTTCTAGTACACCATTTAGCTGATTGGCCTGAAAAAACCAGCATCTCCTAGTCTTGTTGAAAGAAAAAAAAACAGCATTTACCCGTGCTTTCCTTGTGGAAGAAACAAAGATACTGTTCTTGTTTGCAAACCGGCAACAATCCCCGACCCCTTTATGAGGCAGTGGAAAGGCGTAAAAATATCTAGAAAAAAGTTAAATAACAGGAGTACAGACTCCTCAAACCTGCCCAGCTAAACCATCACACCTCGGCCTGCTCGCACTCCTTTCCGCACGTGCCTGTCTGGTGGGGAATGACCATCTCCAGCCCAGGACAGCAATCGACGCTTAACCACGCTGTTAAAGCAGCGGCACCAGCTCCATTGATGCAGGCCCACGCAAAACCAGTGGCTTTCATCAGGTGTGACAGGGGGCTGGGACAAGATGATCTGCAAGGTCGCTTCCAACCCAAACCACCCTGTGATTCCACGTGCCCCACAGAATCCCTCTGATGACCGCAGCATCACATCTGAAACTCTTCCAGTGAAGACGAGGCACAACTACTTGCAGTAACAACTCTAAATGGAGCAATGAATTTGTTTCAGGCCTCACAGAGTTTTACAGAGGGCTCCCAAGCCAAGAACAGATCCCTTGTGTTTTGGCCACGGGACAAAGTAAATTCTGTCAGGAGATGGGGGAGCTGAGGGAGCCCGCAGGGAAGCGCGGCAGCAGAGAGGGTCTGACCTGGCTGCTGGCCAGCGGAACACGGCTGCTGCGGGAGGTCAGCCCTGGCCTGCTCTGGAGAGGAGCCGTCGCTCTGAACCCTGAGCATCAGCTTTTGCAGAACCAGGGAGAGTGGGATTTTGTTTGGAAGAGCGAGTCATCAGAACACGGAGCAGGGCACGTGAAAATGCTCGCACTATTTCAGCTGCAAGCGCTTTTAGCAAAGAGGTTAGGGATGCAAACGGCGCAGCCCAGCCTCGCACTTACTGTTACTCTCCACTTTTCCCCACATCCCCCTTTCTCTTGCAACTCGCTCCTCAGACGACTCCTGCACTCCCAACCCCTCACTATGTCCTCCTGCCCCTCCACCATCTTCATCTCAAAAGATTTTTTTCATAAAAACCCAAGCCCACAAACGCCCTCCTGGGACAGGCAGCCAAGCGGCATCACACAGAGTAAATCCCAAGACGTCACACTTGCTGCGGAAATACTGCTAGCACACACCACAGTCTTACCAGGCTATCAAAGGCAGCACAAAACACTACTACAGGTTAGCAACAACCCTCCCTTTACCTTCTCATGAGGACTTCCAGGTCAGCCATCTCCACTGTCTTCCTCCCTGCATGGTTGGTGTAAGCTTCCAGATCACTGCTTAGCTGCTTGAAGTATCTCTCGGAGCTGCGGGAAGATTGTGGAGGGAAAGGGAATCTGGCTGTGCGCGCATCAACACCAGCTACTCGCCCACGTCTGCAGGGCAGGCTGCACTAGAGCTGCTCACTGTGCAGGGGAAGACTGCAGGAGAAGCAGCACTCCAGAGCCACCCCCGCTCACGGAGAGGGCTAACGATACCGGTGTGCTGTTAGCTAGAGGAGATTGCGGACGGTGCAGTTCGTACTAGTTGGGACAAACCCCAGCGGCTCCTACAAGGCAGCGTTGGTCACGGACATCCACACAGCAGCCAAAAGCACCCAGCACATCTCTGTCCTCACTTCAGCCAGATCTCCCCGTGACTCTTCCCAGCTGAACAGGGAGGGCTGTCCGCTTGCCAGCAACACTCCTGACGGGTTTGTTATTTCAGGAGAGAAAAGAAAGAAAAAAATACTAAAAAGAGTGGGAGGAGGAGCAGTTTGCTGCTGCTTACCATTTTACAACAATGTTGAATGCATCTCTGGCCACTGGCATTTTCACATAATGGCTAAAGATCTTCTTTATCAAACTACTTGCCACTCCAGGCTCATATGCCTTCTTCCGTGCTGCTCCCGAGCTCTTCGGAACCAGCTTAGCCCGTGGCGGCGGCAGAGGAGACCTTTGAGGGAAACGGAAAATTCACACACCGGATAACATGGGGAGAGGCAGAGCACACCAGGCTGAGTCTGGGCAAACCCTGTGCTGAATCTGAAGGGGTAAGGACTACCTCGAGCTCTTAATTCCTTCTCCCTCCTTGTTCTTCAAAACCCTCACACCCACAAAGTACAGTTTGCAAACAATCCACAGGGCGTTATGGCCTCGGGAGAAGCAATCTAGGCTCACATTTCCCCAGGTAAGCATGCCAGCGTAACCACCCATCAGCAAACTATAGCTCTCTCCAACACACAGACGCAGTGTTGACTGCACCTCTGCAGTTTTGACTCCCCAGGAGCGCACCAAGTTCGATGCGTCCGCAGGCCACCCCGGTACCTGCAGACAGGAGAGCCTGGCCTGCAGAGCACGCTCAACAGTTTCTCTCTGTGGACAAGACATACCAGAGCTCCTCCTTTGATACAATCTCCTTCCACAGCACAGATGTCCACAACAACTTTTACACTATTATGAACATTTTATTCAAGGAGGTTTTTGGTTGTGTTTGTTGTGGGGTTTTTTTGTTTGTTCCTTAATCAAGACTAAGTCCCAAAGAAAACTACTACAGTTTTCCACTCTGAAAAACTGTGACATGAAAAGAGGAGCTGAAATCCCTGAATTCACCCAGCAGACAAGGCAACAGAGCAGACCTGGCATCTCAGACTAACACACGCAGAATCCCCAGAGGGAGGGCGTGTATCGTTCGACTCTCTCTCCAGACCACTTGCCTGTTTCTCCGTCAGAACCTCAGGGGCGGCTGAAGAGGTCAGCCCCAGAGATGAGGTATGTGCAGTGGTAAGACAAAACCCAGTCGTTATTTAAGTCATCCTGGTTACTATTTATGTGCCTCAGTTTACTCGTTTGTGAATGATTACATACGAATATTTGTTCACAGGATGTGGGAAAAATTGAAGTTTACTGACTGTATGAGGCTCTGGTGTTTCTACAGGAAAAGTTCTGTGGCCCTGATCTGGCATAATTGATCACAGTAGAAGTAGAATGGTACCAGTATAAAGAGATTATTTTCTATCAGAACGCCTTAACCGTGGCTCTCGCATGGTTATTGCTCCACAACAAAACCTAGAGCATTCCTCCGGCTTTTAACCTGAGCATTGCCATCTCAGGCAGCAAGCAGGCCAACTCAGGGCAGACTGCATTACATCAGGTACAAACACACCACGCATTTTTTGTACAACAGCCTGTAGTCTACGCTCTGAACCTGTAATTCTGACCATCTGTTATCTCAGCACAGCTTGAAAGCCTGAAAACCTGTCAGTCTACTAATGTTCAGAAATTCCTATCAAGAACGTGCATCCAAATACATGGACTTCTTGTGCCAATGAGGACTAGCACTCTCTACAGAAAAATTAGTATTCAGACATTCCATATGTATATGAAAAGAGCACGTCCCGGTACAAAATCCTAAAGCAAACCTGCCTTCGTTCAGTTCCACTTCAGCAGAGCACCAAAGACTCTCCTTTCTATTTTAGAAATACATTTTACTATTCATGATTTGAGCAACCATCCAGCACCTTCTGTAAGCATCATTCATCTCTGTTCACAGCAATAAAGTGCACAAGAATTTGGTTTTATTGTTTATTGCTTCAGAGCCCAAAAATCTAGAGCCATGGGCTAGAAAATTCTTCCTGCTCCCCAAGACTCACTGTTAGTCATTGTGAAGAAGCATATGGCTTCACCAAATTTCTAGTTAAGCGGGTGACAAATGTGAATTGGAGTAATGCAGAGGACAGGTTCACTGTCTGCCTCTGGGTGAGGTTCATTTTACACTCAGCACATGGCAAGCACATACAGCTTCAGGTTTCTAAAGTCAATACCAATCTGTTATTTAATGTGATCAGTGTAACATAATCTGTAACTCCCTCTCTTCTGTGAGGGCCTCTGCATCCCACACTGGAGACCATGGCTTCAGCATCATTTAGCAGTTGAAAAACTCCTAGGAGAAGGTTTTGGCCTTCAGCGCAAGAAAATAGTAAATGAACATTCACCTGAAGGACCTGAAGCATCAGATCTGCTGTGAGAGAGTACTGACATTCACTTGATAGGACTCTTTACTCAGCTGCCAAAGCAGTGAATGAACTGAAGTCTTGCAGGACTGCTTACCCCCTGCTACAGCTGACAAAGCACAAAACAAATGACGAAGCTGGGCTCGGCTCTCTCCTCAACACACTGCTACCAGGCCACTGCTGAAGGTGGCTTATACTTACTCGGAAGCAACAGATTTTGCAGGATGTGGTGTCGACAGCCGTGGTTTGTAGGCTGCAGCATGGACAAACGTGGGTGTCTTCATGGAAACCTCTAAGAAAAAAAAGCACTTGAGGAACTGAACCCTGTTTCCAGCGTTCCTGCAGCAAGCAGTGCTGCAGCACCAGCCAGAACCCAGCCAGCTTTCCACACATCTGGTGCGGTGCCACACGGCCGTGCTCTGGCTGTGGCTCTGTGGCAAATTCTCCTGAACGCAGAGACGCGCAGAGCAACAAAATCCCTCTACAAGGATGAGTCTATGAGCATCTCCCATATTCACAGATTTTCATAAATTCCCTCCAGCTAACGCTCAGGTTATAGTAGGCACCTCACCTCTTTGCTGCGAACTACCCGTACCAGTTTCCTCCAAGTCTAATCTGCATCCTCTCACTTTGCTCTTGAACTTCTTCACTTCTGAAGCAGCGAGAGCAGGAAAGAAAACAAAGTTAACAGAACTGAAAATTCCTGTCTAGAAGAGGAACGGTCACGGAGGGCTTCTTCGCCTGCCAGTTTCCCTTACAAGCTGAGTGCAGCCCAGGAATCTGGCATATCTGGTAACGGTGTCACTTCACAACCCTCCCGAAGAGCCAGGACACCTGCCCCACTATAGAACACAAGCCCGACAACTAGAGGCCTCAGGTACTACTAAGAGTTAACCTCCACAACTCCAAGGGTCAAGAGTCTCTCAGAGAAAGCAGGGCTGGGTGAGCTACTGTTGCTTCTTGCATTAGCTTCTTCTGAAGAAATACTTCTATGCGCTGGAGAGACATGGAGCAGAACGCAGGGGAAGAAACTCATTATGCTGAAGTTTCCGAGGTAAGTTTTATGACAAGAGCACATAATTTTTCATCTTTGCTTCCCATCCTTGTCCAATGAGACCTGCAAGATGCTACTCTTACCACTCCACCCTACCAGCAGAGATCTCTGCATCAAGATCTTCCCATCTCTTCATACAGCTGTGTTAAAAATGAGCATATCGACACACTATTGCGGACGCCCTAAGAACATCTACAGCTTTCCTTGTGGCAAAAGCGCACCAGTTCAACTGCCACCTTTGTGCCTTCCACGCCACACAAATACACACAGGCACTGATCTTTTCATTACGTCTGAACTTCCCCACAATACCTCAAATCATGGCAACTGGATTCTTTTCTGATGTCCTTAGTTTAGTTTTTTATTTCAGGGTGTATTGTACTTTGAAAGACTTCAGGACCAGTCCCAAAAGACACCACTAGAACACACTGGGCATTCTCAAACATGGCCTTGATTGAAGAGAATGCAGTCTGATAGGTATGTTCTTCCAAAAGCCCTAAGCACTCTTGGGGCAACAGAGCAGTCTGATGAAACTGTTTAGAAACAGACGCTTCCTCTCAGCTTTCTGGAAAGCCAGCCTACTCTTCTGGTTAACTGGAAAGGAAATCTGTAACTACACGTACAAAATATGGGGTTCGAAAGTAGGTTTCAAGTCTGGAGTCAGGTAAATGGCTGGGGAAACAGCAGTTCAATGCTAGGACATTAAAAAATCAGCATGAATTAAGAGTCAGGAAGGAAGGAAGGATAAAATGGAGGATATCCCTATGTCACTATATAAAACCACTTTCCACTCAGTTTTGTCTATTTGTGCACTTCCGTTACCTTCACCTCAGAAAGTACAAGACGATCTAGGTCCCTGCAGCACCAGATGAGCCAGCAACAATCTGGTCCCGGGAAAAGCAGCCAACAGCTTCCCCTGGACTACCTGATGGCCTAAACCGTTAGTAACATTATTAACCTATGTCGTTCCTCAATCTACTGAGAGCTAACACGGAAAAATTTCTACAACTGCTGCAAAGGTTTTCTTTACCTTCACTCTCAGGGTCTTCAGCTTCATCCTCAGCAGGCTCTTCTTCCAGACCATCAAATTCTACCACGATAGCTTCATCCTTTAGTTCATCAGCTTCTTCAACAGCTTCCTCTAACAACTTCACCCCAAATTTTTTAGGGGAGGAAAAAGCATGAGAATGCTTGCCCAGGCTTCCAGCTTCAACATCTTTGGCAATCTCGCGTTCTAGATTTCCAAAACAGGAAAAATACACCACTGAAACAAGTACCATAGCCAAAATTTCAGAGCACTCAAAAGAATGAAACCCAGCATTCCATTCCCGACATTGCCACCTATTATACTGCTATCTCCAAGGGTCAGAGTGTCAATACACTGAGCCAGATAAGCTAAAGCACTGACGAATCCTCAACTTTTCCCTCTGGTACATCTAGGTGTGCAGAGGTCACACAAAAAAAATAGTACTTGGTAATGCAGAGAAGCCCATGAGATTTGAGTGAATTTTTTATCTGAGCTCCTTTAAATGAGCTTCCTTTGATGAGAACTTTCATGTCAAAAGAAGTCTTATCAAAGCCTTAGGGCAGTGTGTTGAACACAAAAGACCCAGCAAGTCAGAAAAAGTAACTTGGGAGATCCTGATTTGCCACACACTCAGAAGCTCTCCAACTTTTATCAATCTTTGCCTCATTCTGCAATTTCCACATTTTAAAATTTGATTTAATTTTAAAAAATTTAATTAAAGACGCCTTCTGCAATTACATATTTCTAAACGCTACTGCAAATGCAATTTTGGTTTCCATTTGAGACAAATGCAGTCTTTCAGCTTAAAATGCCAAAATTAGTTTGATATTTTTGCAGCATTTAGCCCAGATTCCAGAATACGAAGAGAGTTAACAAGTCTCTCTCCCAGCACTGATAACAATAACGCAGCCTGAGAGTTCTCTGGCATTAGAGAGAGCCTGCAGGATTGGAGGCCGTCCTCACCAGCTTCAGGAGAGCCTTGGTGTTCAACACTGCCTTCTGCTATTCCCTCTTCTTCGGAAGCGGCTGTTTCTGTTCCCACTCTGTCATCCTGTGCCACAGCCACCTGCGATTCTGCTTTGCTGGTCAGTTTCTTCTCCAAACGTTCTGAATATCCAGCATTTGCATGATGCTCTGCAGCTAAAAGGAAATTCTACCATCAATCTTACCTACAAAAAACACCCCCAAACAACCACCAGCACACAGTTTAAAAACCGCTAAAATTTACTCATGGTAAGTAAACTTAGCAACAGCCATACAAGCTCTAAATAAGGGACGCAGATGCAGTGTGCAGTGCCCTTCCAAAAGTTTACAGCTGAGAAACGCACAACTCTTCCTCTGTTTGCTCTACAGTCACTTAATTAAGGGTGCTCATCAGATCCCAACGAAAGAATTTTACTTATCACTAAGCAGAGTTCCTTCAGATCTGCCATCTCTATGTCTGTGCTCCCTTTTGGTGACTATATGACAGACCACATTCTTTTTCTTTCAGTCTAACAATACATGGAGTTTGTGCTCAGATTCTCCTCCCCATTTCCTCAGTTTTTCTGAATAAATGATTTTGCAAGAGATATACTGCATTATAAAGAGGAAAAGGCCTAGCAGTGGTTTTAACCACCCCAGACAAGCCTCTAGCAGGCAGGATGAGAAAAAAAATAAATGGACGCACGATTTGCACATCTTTAAAAACTTCAGCTACTGAAGTAGCTACTGAAGTATCAAAGAATACCCGAGTCAAGTAATTACGTGGAGAAAACTCACTGGGAACCCTCATGGCAGTGTCACTTGCCGAAGGGTTTGGAAATCTCAGCTAAGCCCAGAACCAGAAGCTGTAAAAGGGGATTTTTATCACCCTCTCCAGTGACTGGGAGTTTTCACACTCAAAAGTACAAGCATCAAGGTCTTGGCAGCTCCAAGCCCCAGTGAAAGGGACAAGGAAATCTGGCCAAAGGTGGTGCAAAAATGAGTAATATCAATCCCACTAACCAGAATAATGGGCTCCCTACACCAACGCAGGGCAAAATCTTCCCTAACGTTAAAGGAAATATTAACTAGCTTTGCGGGGAGAAGAAAAACGCTCAGCTCGACACAAAGACTGCCTCAGCAGACAGACATCAACGATTCTCCCACACCAATAGATCCCTGGTGGGATGCAGTACTTTTAACAGTGGAGTACCAGGTGCTACTGACACAGTCAGGTGTAATTTGTACTGATTACTTCACCTGTTGCTAGTAGCAATACCTCCCGTAGCTTCATACAACCTGCCTGCTGTCAGTGCCAGTCGCTCCTCTAGTTTCTTCCCTGACAGATCAGGGAGCTATTTGTTTCAATTTGTTTGCTGAATCATCTCCTCTGTGCTGCTCAAGGCTTTTCTCTTTTAACTTCTTGTATTTCACTCTCACAGCACTTGTCTTTTTTCCAGGCTGAGCAGTCCTTATCTTTAGTCATTCAATGTACGGAAACTGCTCCATATAGCTGATTATCGTTAATGGTAAACCTGTTTTTCTCTGCACCTTCTCCAGTTCTGTTAAATCTGTTTAGAGATGGAGAGGTTAGAACTGCACAAAGGACTCAAAAGGTGAGCATGACAATCGTTTCCATAGGGGCACAGTGACACTTCGTCATCTCTTCCTTTCATAACAATTTTTACTCATTATTTGCTTTTCTAAACACCCGTCAAGCTTTGAGCTGGTGTGCATAGAACTGCAACAATTTGGAGGTGACTTTCATCAGTCTCAACAGTCACATCCCACTGAAACTTCAATGTTCTGCAGGTGCACCCAAGTAAAAACTATAACAGGACAAAAGAATTTAATAAAGATTACAGGATGCCAACATTGCACAGCTGTAAATTTAGAGATACAGAATGTCTGCTGCCTTAATGAGCTGCCCTAAAAGAACGGTGTGAAACAAAAGGCTGTATTATCATGATAAAAAGGCAACATAGCTGATCCTGCTGATACACCTGGTACGTGCAAGCAATTATGGGCACTGGAAGTATCCAGTGTAAAATTCTAACGACAGCACTGTTGGTGCTGTAGACTGTTCAGTTTCCATCCTGCCCCAAGGTAATCCATATGAAACTCGAGATGTAATTAAGCCTAGGAAAAGCTAAACCCGCATGGCAACGGTCTCTCATTTCCAGGCGCTGTCAACGGAACAATGGGAAAGACTTAAAACGAATCCTAAACTGGAGTCTGGTAAATGAAATTAAACAAAACAGAGGAATTTGTGTCCACACATACACCGAGCTTTGTGTAATGACTGGATAACTCCTGCCACCCTCAGCTTCTCAGCAGAGTTTTTACTGTCTTATTCTAAGGCAAAAGGATTTCAGAGGAAACCAAGAAGATGCTTGTGAAAGCAGGCAACTTGCATGACTTGCTCTCTTCAGGAACAAGGTGGTATTAAGGCCCAACCCACTAGTAACCATCTTTATTACTTAAAAGAAGGCAACCTTCAAGCCCTTGTCTTAAGAGAAAAAGATGCTGGTTAGTACTGGGGAAAGACAATGGCCAACATGGCTTAAATAACTATAGTAAACCATTAAAACGTATACAAACAGAGCAATTAGCCAGATGCGTCCTTGCCAAGAGGGAGCTTTCCATCCTCCCTGTGGGAAGATGAGCAGTACTACGGACCCACCAAAAAAATATGAACCTTTATTCCCTTTGCAGTCACTGTGAACAAAGCAAATACTGACAAGAACGCACACGAGCAAGTCACAGCCTACTTTCAGAAAGCTTGTCTGGAAATGCTCAGTGTCTCTCTGCCATGACTCGAATTATCTCTAGCATTTACCACACAATAAAGTCTTATTTTACTCTGCAAGTCACCTGAAAAACTCTTGGGTTTACTCAGATTAAAGTACTCCATTCCCTTGCAATGCTGAAAGCACTTCTTACCCTCTCTGAAACTCTCTTCCTGTTCCACTCCATTCACTGTACTAGCCATCTCTTCTTCTGCATCGCTTACATCTAGGTCTTCAATTATATGGGATACAACTTCTCTCAAAGACATGCTGAAAGTTCTCTTGGGCTTTAGAGTGACTGGGGATCCCAGACATTCACTTGAACTTCTGGATGGCAAAGAGGAGCTCCATCTATTAACAGCTAGAAATTTAGAGCATTAATGTGCCCCCTGTATCTTTTCAAACCTTCTTTTAGCTTTCCCGACAAGTAGAAAACCAACCAAGCAGAGAGAGGAATACACACAAGAAAGTGCTCTCCCTTTACTTCAAACAGTTTAGGGAGTTCACATGGTACCTTAGGAACCAGTTGGAAAAGTCCTTGCAACTATTTTTCAGTTCACACCGAGGAGCAACATTGACATAGGCCACCTTTGGTAAAATGGCAGAATTATGTTACCATAAACTTTTGGCATTACAAACTCCAGCATCTTTATGATATGCTCTCACTCCCCCTCCGCTTCCTCCCATTTGATCCAGTCCCCTCTTCCATGTCCTCCACGCTGTCTATCCATTTCCCCAGAAAGTGCCTACCATTGGACGCTTCAGAGCAACTAACCTTTTTTTCTGTTCCTCTTTCCCCTTGTCCTTTGAAAACAACTCTTCCCACCAACCTTGCCAAAGACAACCCTCTAGAAGCAAAGTACGGTGCAACACTCCACCAGGACACCAGGCATTAACTAATCTCTAAGCTTTCCACGGTAAGAACTCCTCTCGTGGCCTGAGCAGTACTGAACACACCAAATATTCTTTAAATACCGTTTCCGAGGCCCTTTTGACAAATGATCATTAAAAAAACAAAATGAAAATGAAACATTAACTGTCCATCCTTCATGGAAAGCATGAGGAGTTTTGATTGCAGAACTGCACGGAGCTATTTACTACAGCAGATCCTATCCTGGCTAGCTGCCCCAGGGTCACCAAACAGAAAATTTCAGGGTTACAGCCGTGCCCTGGGGCCTGGTCTATGCCCTATGAGGAAAACGCGCTCCCACTTACATAGCCAGGACAAGGTGTTTACAGGGAAGTGAATGCTGAAGAGATGCCAAACACCAGGGAAAAACCAGCAAGTGATAGGACTTGCGAAGCATTGGTACAGAGTGACCAGGAGAGAGTCCAGCCGAGGGCCACCTGGTCACTTAAGAGACTGGAGCATCTCTCCTAGGAGGAAAGGCTGAAAGAGCTGGGACTGTTCAGTCTGGAGAAGAGAAGGCTCAGGGGGCATCTCACCAACGTATGCAAGCACCTGAAGGGAGAGTGTGAAGCAGACAGAGACAGGCTCTTCTCAGTGGTGCCCAGTGTCAGGACAAGAGGCAGTGGGCACTGACTGGAACACAGGAAGCTCTGCCTGAACAGAAGGAAACCCTTTTTCACCGTAAGGGTGACCGAGCACTGGAACAGGTTGCCCAGAGTTTGCAGTCTCCATCCCTGGAGACATGCAAAAGCTGCCTGGACATGGTCCTGGCAACCTGCTCTAGGTGGCCCTGCTTGAGCAGGGGGGTTGAAGGAGTTGACCTCCAGAGGTGCCGTCCTGCCTCAACCATTCTGCGGTGTCAGATAAAACCTGCTAAGCCCCAAGCCCTAACCCACAGTACTCACTGCCAGCCACCACCTCTTCCAAAACAGAAAGCTGTTCCATCGGGTTACTCTGCTGGGAATGATCCTGCTGATCTTCTCGCTGGTTTGCAGGTGTTTTTGGAGGCACACCAGTCATTCTGTCAATGCCCTCACGATCAAGGATTAAGTCCTCAGAATACCTTTGGGTCCTTCCCTCATTTGTGCCCACACCGGATAGTGGGGCCACCAGCTTTGCTTCCTCTTGGGCTGCATCAGAAATCTTGCTTCTCTGTTCCAAAGTTTTTGAATCTGACAGTTGTGGTTCAAAAGCAGAAGGCTTATTTTGGCTCTGTTCATCAAACTGAGGCTGAACAAAGAGCTCCGTGTTACTCAGCATGATTTCCGCGTCACTCGTCAGCGTGGCTGTTTGGATCCCAGATGCTGTTTGTGAGTCCACAAGATAGTTCTGCACTGTTTATAAAAAGTTTTAAAACAAGTTTCATGTGAAAAACTGTTTAAGGTCATAGGGACACACATTTATTACCACGACTTGCATAATTCAAAATCTAAGTCATTGAACCACATTTTATTTATCCTCCACAGATCAAACACTGGAACTCTATCACCACCCTTCAGTGCTCCTAACTTTCTCTACCAAACCATCTCCCCGGTACCCACAGTTACGAACACTATCCCAAACGATTCCTGTGGTATAAATCACCAAACTGAGCGAAGCAGATATTTAGATGCACAGAATCAAAGCAAGTACAGATGCAGAGCCTCATTCTAATCTTGCTTCCCAAATGACACTGAATTTCTGTGAACGTGCTGGTAGCCTTTACACCGTAAAACACAGACCACGCTTCAGTAACTGCTTCTGAAGGTCACCCTGTATAAGGCCCTCCCTTCCTCCCAAAGCAGAAGTAACAACACGAAAGAAACCTTTTCTTTTCAGCATGTTCTGTTCCACTCCGCCTTCAAAAGCTTCCATGTCAATAGCTTTGCGATTTTTTGGCCTCCGGAGCAAGCCTCTCTTTTCAACAGTGTCTGGTGGGATCAAGGAACCCAGAGACATGCGAAGAGATCTGTACAAAGAGGAGGGAAGAAATGATTTTCCAAACTTACACGCTCCCCTTTTACCCTCAGATTACGGACATGGTGTCAGTAGCAGTGAGACATTTCACAGATCCCATAGCTAGGGGGAATTTCCACAAAAAAAACCTTGAAGAATCCATGCCAGTTTACTTTAAACAAACAGTATAATTTCATGGTATCACCCAACATCAGGACATGTATCGCAGAGATCAGGGAACAGGCTGTTTTACAGCCTCCTACCTGGAGAGGGCCGCAACAATGTATCTGACAAAAGGTTCAGGAATTTATAAAAATTTTAAATAACAAAAAAAGGGGAAAACAAATGTTTGAGAGCAAAATGTTCTCCAGATGACAGTGCGGTGGCAGGAGGACTTCAGAACAAACCTAAGAAGTTGCTTAGTATTGGTATTCACAGCAAAGTACAGCTACCAACACACTAACTTTTCTGAGATAGGAGGTAAGACAGCAACACACAAAGCATGGGAAAAGATGTATGTCACTGCACGTATTTTGCACCATAAAGAGACTAGCCATCCTCAGCTACCTCCTGTCCCCCTCTCAGGGCAGACCGATCAAAAAGGAGGTTCAGAGGATTCAAAGATAGGAAATACAGAATGCAGCCCTATGAATCACCTTGCATGGGACCACAGGCAAGGGCTTGCAGCAAGAAAGGGGAAATAAATTGCTAACCATGGCGAGGACCACTGGCAAAGTACAAGGGCAACACAGGAAAAGAAGTTCTCTGACTTCCTAAAAAGCTTTTAAAGTCCAGGAAAGTTGGACTAAAGACTGCACAGATGCAACTGATGTGATAAGTCAACAACAGGCAGAGATAATACTCTAAGGTACATTGTGTACCAATTTGTTGTTGGAAACATGAAAAAGAAATGAAAAAAGGATGGACCCTATTAATTAAAAAGGGAAGCAATAGCAGCAACAAGAGCTAGACCAACCTGGGCATACAGTACAGAGCCATGATTTCTAAAAACTGCAAGGTGTGTGGGGTAACACCTTCAAATTCCACCACCAGAGTGGGAAATTGTGTTATTACTAACACAGGTCTCTATCGTGAACCCAGGCATGTATACTGTTCTTCACCACTACAGAGGTGGGGAATCAAGGCAGCTACAGTTAGGACAGCCAAAAGTTCAGATATTTTAGTTTAAACTCACCGAGCCAAAGTCGTGCTGTCCAACGTTGACTGAGCTAGAAAAAGTTGGCAACACATTAGCTGAGAAATTACACTAGCTGAGAAATTACCCTCTACACAGCCGGCTACAGGAACACCCCAACGGATCTTCCTCTTTCTACAGCCAGTCACGCTACAACCCTCGGCAGTTACATTTTGCTGAGAACAGAATTAGATGACAGGTTCACTTTACAGTCTCTTGCCTGTGTTTCAGAACTGCACACCAGAATTCTAATAAGCAATTTCTGAAATGGTAATAAAACAGTTATTTCAAAGAAAATTTAATATGGCACACGCCCTCACACTCAATAATACTAATCTTACCACATCAATAGCAAGATGCTAGGCTAGGGCTTCAGTCACAACCACCCTTCAGCAACCCAACCATTAAAGTGTCTGGAAGCTTCAGAAATACAGGTTGTTGGCGAGACTGTAACTCAAACCTGTCCTACTCACAAAGGCCTACAAATCCCAAAGCAGATCTGGAGAGCAGTGATACAATCACATTCGCACTAGAAAACTGCAGAGCATTCCCCCTCTGCTTCTGCAGAGCTGCCGGCATCTTACCAGAACATGTTCAGACCAGGCATCAGGCTAAAGAAAAACAAGTCGATGGTTTGACTACAGGTGAGTCAGGGTGGGATTCAGCTCCAGATTAAAATACCCAAACACAGGTGTCTATGTTCCCATCATCATCAAACACAATTAATAGAATGCAAGTGCCTACTTTCAGGTGAGCTGAATCACCCTCCAGACTCCACTGACTAGATCTCCCCTAAACTTAGGAGGACTTCAGTTACCTCGTGTACGTACAGGCACAGAGGGTCTATAATTCAGAGCTGAATCCCACCCTTAAATTCTAATTCTAATCCCACCAGCTGCTACTGCCAATAGGGTTATGTAAACCAAGGCGAGGTGTTTTATCTGCCTCTGTTAAACTGCTACTAAGAAGAAAGTTGAATTTACCAAATTTGCAAAATCGCATTTAAAGGGAAGACTTATTCCAATATAAAACATTGATTCTCTTACAAAACTACAAGACTTTTTTCCTCAAATAAGAGCTTTATAACTTCTTTGACGTAAATGCAACAACATATATGCAGCTTGTCCCATTTTCAAGCTTCTGGAATTGAGGGGAAGACAGGGATTAGTTCCTTTGGAGATACTTGAAAACTCAAAGAGCACCAAGTTGGAAAAATGTTCAAGAAGCCATACGCAGTCAGGACAGAGCCTGTAACTTGGCTCAAAAAGGCTTATTTTAAACTTGATAGGAGGGGTTTTTATCTTCTTTGCTATCCCCTTTGCCCAAGATACTGCAGTCTCGCTTCCAAATGTACAACTGCCCAGCTGAGAAATTACCGAGAGCTAAACTGCAGCAGATGAAAATAAACCGACAGCAAACGCAGTGCTGAACAAGGTAATTTTTGACTGCAGCCTTACCTTGGTTCTGAGGAAGTCGTTTGTCTGCTGCTCTCTCAAATTCAGAAATGCTGAGTTTCTTTCTCTTCTTAGTCATATGGAATGTGGCAATGGAGGTGTCCTCAGGAACAAGGTCTGGCAGTTGCATTTCCACCCTACCAATACAAACCAAGCCTTTAGCAAAGGACTTTGGCTTCCTACCAACCTTACAAAGGCCCCTATAATGCCAGTGAAAAAACAAACAAATTATTGGTCCTTGCTGCAGCAGAAGGAAGGAACTAATTGGTGATTAGCTCAGCAAATGCAGGAACACGTCATTCTCTCCTACTAAATCAAAGTAAACTTCACAAGGAGAATCAAAACTGGAGTGTATATTCAAAACCACAAGGCTGAGAAAGGTCAGACTGGAGTAGAAGTCTGGACTTCCAACAAGCTCCACAGCTCGCTTCTAACAGCACACAACAGCAATCAGGTTTGTCAGTCACTACGGTATGAATGAAAAAGCCATCGGCACGAAACAACACCAGGTATCACAAGGCTGGCACATGGAGCAGACACGTAACATCCCAGTCAGGCACTGGATCAGGATCAGAAAGAAAGGTTCTGAGTCGTTTTTCCCCTTTACTGAGGGGCTCCAAGCACCCCCTCTCACGAAGGTCGCACCCAGGCATGCTGCCAGCACTCCACGCTGCCCTGCAGAACTAGAGCAGAGCGTCCCTCCCGCAGCCAAGAGCCTGCATTTGGCAGATGTAGCGCTCTGTACCCCTTGCTGCAACAAACGTGGCTTCAGCATAGCCAGAATGGGAAGGTGATCATGTTTACGGCTCTTTTCCCCTCACAAAATACATTCTTTACCAATCAGAAAAGTAGCCGAGTTTCATTACTGTATTACAAGCGCAACATGAGCCTAAGCATCAAATTAACTACCTGGTAAAGGGGGTGATAATACAAAGCAGCAGGGAAAAAAGACTTGTCACTTTTTGCAGCTATGCTGGAAGATGCTATTACAACTAGCAAAAGTAGTGCCTTCCCAAATTCAAGCAAGTTCACAGCAACTAAAGGAAGGCTGCAATGGAATTCTTTTTTAAAAAAGAAAAAAGACTATTTTTTAAAAATTTAAAAATATTTTTTAAAAGTCTATGCCAGTTTAACTCCAGCTAACATATGGAATATAAAATCCTGCTAAGATCCAACCATCTGATCTTCTCATTTGAGACAGACTGATGTGAAGCATATTCAGAGATGCTCAAGAACTACAAGCAAAAAATCAAGAAGGAATTAAAATTACACTACTCATTTTTTAATTTATATAAAAAGAATAAAACCCAAGCTACCACACTTACAGAAAACTCAGATTTTTCTTCCTTTACTAAAAAACCAGAAAGAAGTTCAGAAGTTTACCTAATATTTTAGATGACCTGTTTAAGGTTGCTTATAGTCAATACAAGAAGTTTAGCTATAAAGATAAAACAAAGGAAAACACATTATTTAGAACAGTCTCTTTTGTAGTAAGCAAAAATACACCCAAGTGTTGTCACAAAACTGCCTAAAGCAAATTAAGACCTACCACCACTACTGGTTTTCTTCTATTTCATAACAAAGTGGAAGGAAACAAACCACACTTCAGCCTCTCTGTCAGGCCTACTAGCTTAAGATATTAATGGAAGCTGAACACAAAGAAAAGCAGGTGAGCCTCAGGCACACCTCACCTGCAAACCACTCCACAGGAAGGCAGGAAGCCCTGGCAGCCCTAAACAAGGACAACTGAGAAGCAGTAACACCGTAAGAAGCTACCGCTGCCTGCATTCTGAACACAAGACACAGCAGTCGCTCGTTACGCCCCAGCACCGTCAGCACGCAGCCTGCAGCCTTGGGAGATCTGAGAACTTCTATTTTAGTATCTGTCCCAGACAACTAAGAAAAGCAGGCTTCCATCATGAGACTTATTGTACAGAGCAGTTCCACCGCAAAAAGATATTAAAAACCTGCCTGTAAGCAGGTGGACTAAGTGCAAACCTGCAGTACTTATTATTCAGTCCCCCAGTCCCAGTGATTCCTGTGCAACTTTTAAAGCCAAACAAGCATTTCTGACAGCCTGACAGAACACAACTCCGACCACTGAAACGGAAGCACAGAAATCCTGCTCCCCAATCCCATCATAGGAACTGCAGATGTACCTGGTAGTGCAAAAACCCACAAATACTACTTACATGTTGGAAACTCTCTTAGATGGGAGTTCTGACCGAGCTGCTTCTGTTTCTTCATGTTCAGATACCTGAGGTGCTAGAGGTGAAACTTGCGGTTCTGCCAACAAACCAAAACATTTCCTTTCCACAATTCAATCCAGTAAGAGCGCCAAAATACAGCAGTGTCAAATCTACACTACGTTCTGTAAGTTACATTTATTAACAGGTTAAAATAAAGACATGGTGAGACCTATTGGGGTTCTGCTCCTAGGTAGGCCGACACGCACAGCAACAAAGTCAACGGTGGCAAACGGCAGCACGGGGCTCTGTGCCCTGCCGCAGAGCGGCACCGAGGCTGGCAACGGCATGCGCCTCTATAGCTTACACATGATCCTACAGCTGAGACCATGCTCGCTCTCCAGGGTAAGCAGACTGTGCAAGAGGATTTCCAAGAACACGTCTGCATCGGTGCAAGACCTGGTTTTTGAGAGCCAGCTGTATCGCCTGACCTCGCTCTGCTGACACTGCTGCGGTTCCTTGTCTTTTATGTCAACCAGTCGTACAGCAGCCTGGGTTTTTGTTTCGCGGAACAGGGTAAGAACGACAGGCTATGGAAGAACACCTCCTGGTCTCAAATCCACCAAAATACTGTCCTTCTGATTTCCACTTCCCTGAAAAAAAATACTTACGGGTCCGGATGATTCTCTTGAGCATAATCCTTGGCGTGTCATTATCCAGATCAGGGGCTGGTCTCTGCTTCAGTGAGGTGCTTCTGCCAGAATTCTTCTGCTTTCCCGAGTCAGGCACGGTCTAAAGAGAGAGATCAGTGATGCACAATTCAAAAATCCAGCTTTCCTCATTAAAGACAAATCTTAGCATCAAAAGCATTCCTCTTCCATGTTCCAATAAAAACCTAAGCTAGGTAACGCGAAACGTTTTCCAAATTTCCAGAGACCGTGCCCATCTGCTTTCGTTTCGGGGCAGCAGGCCAGCCACAGCGAGGGGGGTTTCAACGCTCACGGCCGACGCGAGCCTGAGGGACTCCGCAGCGCGGCCTTGACCTAACCCAACCCGAAATAAGCAGAAATAAAACCAAAACACCAGCGTGGCGAAAGCTGCAGCAGCCCCGGCTATTGAGGGAGGGCGAAATTCAGCGGGCTCGGCCCCGTTTCCCACGTCTGAAGGCGAGCAAGCAGCGGAACACCCCCAGTCCCCCGGCTCCAAGGGCCCCGCTT